CAACCCTCAGAATCTGGATTCCTCCAATTTTCCGACAACAGAAACATCCAGAAAAAAAACAAGAAACAAGAAACAGAGACTCTTTTGTAGTATACAAATAAAAGATCAGACATGTTTATTGTTTCTGTGATCATAATTTATTAGCTCCAACAATAGTTTAGAGCTTAGGAGATGCAAAGATTCTAGCCTCTAAATTAAGCAAACCACAAAGCTCAGGATACAAACTCTTCCTTATCGATGCATAAACCTCACCACTCCATTTCCTCGCCACCAATTTCTCACCAAGGCGCACAGTAGCCTCAACAACACCTTCAGCGCTATCATGCGCCGCCGAGTCAATGATCCCCAAAACCACCGCTTCTTCTCCTCCGATCTTCTTCCCGCTCAGCAAAAGCTCTCTCCTCGCCGCACTCGTCCCGATCTTACCCCTTACCATCGCCGCGAAATAGTCCGGCATCGAAAGCCCGATGTTGACCTCGCTCATGTAGAGAACACCACGGTCTTTCCTCATGAAGATGTAATCATGGCTTAGAGCAAGCATCAATCCGGCGGCGGCGGCGTGACCGTTCACGGCGGCGATTGTAGGCATAGGGAGATCGAGAAGCGATGCTACAACCGGTTTAAATGATTCGACCATTTGATGAAGCCGGTTTGCGGCTCCGGTTTTGGATCCAGCGGATTGAGCCCAAGCGAGATCGAATCCGTTTGAGAAGAATTTTCCATGACCTGTTGTGATTAGGACAGATCCACGAGTGGATTGAGATTTGGCTTGTTCGAGAAGGGAGAGGATTGTGGAGATCGTGTCGGGATGGAATCTGTGTTCGCCTTCTCCGGTTAAGGTTAGGAAGAAGAGATCGCCACGCTTCTCTAACGTGCACATGTTTGAGAGGAAGAAGAAGATTGAAATTGAAGTGCGTGAAAACAAAATCTTGAGTTTGTTATGAAAAATGAGAGACCTTACCTAAAAAACAAATGTAGGTACTAGCAACTAATGGGTTAACCCTCTAATGGGTTTTCAAACAATTTTATAATATTAAATTAGTAATAAAATTAGTTTAGAACTCATTAATTGTTTTTAAATTCTTGTGTCTTCCATTGGTTACAATTCCAAAAGGGTTCTCAAAAATAAATAAATAATATTTTAATAATTATT